TTTGTATATTATTATTAACACACTCTGATGCTAAGGAGTTCTACTCCCCATCCCCTTCTGAAAAAAAAGCTGTTCCAAATGCATAAGGGGAGAGGACTTTCAGTTTTAGTTTCACAGCAGCAACCAGCTTTAGTACAAAACAGTTGAGCTAAGCCAAGCCTAGGCTCCTTTGCTATCTCCTTGCTCACACTGCAAATACTGTTTCAGTTTCCATGTTTCAGTTTCCAAACAACCCTCAACTCACACACACTGCGAGGATGCTAGCCAGATGAATACCGATGGATGCCGACAGGCAGAGGCACAATTTTTTCCCTTTATTTTCGTCCCCAAAAACTAAGCCTGATCACATAGTTTCGTAGCAAAGCATGGGTATAGAGCTAGTACATTGATAAAACAAGTCAACAAACTATAAGAGAATTACTGAAGTTACTTAATGAAAAGTACAAATGGACAAGGATAAGAACTTCAAAAGAAGAGGCAAAAATTCTAAAAAGAAGCAATTATGGGATTTAATGATGGCCAAAAATTGGTTTATTTGACTGGTTAAATAATGAATTGCTATCTTTAGTAATTAATGGTTATCTGGATTGGATAGTTTCTCTTGAAATATTTAATGGTGTAATCTAATTGTTTCTAATATTTATGCTACCATTTTTTATATCTAAATAAGGGGTTATTTCTACAAAAGCTTAATAGCTTTCATTTTTTATTTTTTTTGTAATTTTAAATTGTTAAGAGATGGATGAAGAGGATTTAGACTAAATGGAAAGAAAGATTATATACTTATATCTTTTAAGTATTTTTGTTAATGTTTACTGGACATCTGTTGATCCCTTGGCAGAACTGAAGATTTAAAGATGAGTTTATAGAAAATGGGGTGAAGTTTGTAATGAAGATGTGATTGTAATATAAAAGACAATATAAATTGTTAATGTTAAATATGCCTCTGGGGGTGAAGAAGAAAGTTTCTTTTTCTTATTACCTTTTTCTTCCCATCCCTAAATTTTCTTTTACCAAATATATTCTTATATTAGGTTTCTTTGTTAGTTTTATCTGTTTTTTATGATTAAAAAAATTAAAACTTAGATGCAAGAATTTTTACTAAAATACTTCTGTAATAACAGTTCATTGTGCTCTATACTGACCAAATTGTGACACTATTATTGTAAGTATATTGAATTTCTTTGTAATGTATTTATTAAATTGATACCCTATCTTACGAGTTATGCTCAGCAATAAAAATAAGATATAAAATAAAGCATAATAAAAAATGAAAACAAATTATAATCATACTAATTAAAATAACAAAATAAACATTGCAATTAATTATCATCCGCCAACATGGATGATAATTAATTTTGCTTTTACTTGAAAGGATATCCAGGATAAATTTAGTGTGGCTTCTCTTGGTCAAAATTCTAGTTTGTGGAAAGACTTCCATCATTTTCCTACAGTTAAATTCTGATAGTGACAGGAATCCTGTTTTTTTTAATCTTGACATGGTATTCGTCTATAGTTTTACACATGTTTACACTTATTAAATAATTCTGTTTAGGTTCAGTGTAAGCATCTCAACAGTGATTAAAGTTCTTCCCATACAAATTGTTTTGGGCTAGTTGGAAAATCTAACTAGTGATAGATGAAAAGAAAAATTAATTAATCTTACTTTCCATACAGTTACTTATTCACATATACACCTCCAAGAACAATATAAAAATTTACTCCAGAACAGGAAATATGGCTCTTAGGGCTTTAAATGCATTAAAGAATTTATGCAGATTGCCTCTTCTCTTTCCATTGAGGAAGCATTTTTAGTGGAACATTTCCAAAGTGAAATTTCCTCAGATGAAAAAAAGGCCAGATCCAGACAGTTAAAAGATACCACCTTTCCTGTATGGCTGTTTTATCATGGTCTTTAAATTTGCTAGTGAAGAGAAAAGGTGTATCTTTTGAAGAGAAGATACTCAACTAAAAACTGAAAAAGAACTACATAGAAAGGAAATTGTAATTGTGGTAAATATGTTGTATGATTCTTGTCAATTCTTATGGAGAAGAGTGACAAATTTTAGGAAGGAAATGGGACTAAGTAATTTGTAGCTTGTTGCAGTAAGATATAACTAGCGAGCTAGATACACACATATATACAGATTTACTTAAAGAATATTTTTTTAATTCTTATTCTTTTAATAAAGTTAAATAAAAGTTTATGAATCTTGTATTTCATTGGACCATTTTCTTCTGATTTTATTTTAGGGAATTTAATGTTATGTACCGTAGTATATTTTTAAGATCCTACTTAAAGACATTATTATATAATAGGTTAGGTTTTTTCCCCTTTTACATAACATTTTATAAAATAACAATATGGTTAAACACTTATGTACTTTATGTATAATATGCTTGCTGAGAAATATTAAGTGTAATGTTCTTAAAAGTGAATAAAATTATTTTTGAAAGATATCTTTATTAGTACAGATTAGAAAATAAAAAGTTAACATTGTGGGTACAGAGTTAAGTTGGCAGTCGGTTCAGTTGACTCCCTTATAATGGAGGGAGGGAAATTTGGTGCCATTTACACGTTTATAGCAAGGTTATAATCAGACTTACAATCCCAAGTCAATACTCACTCAATTCCCTAAATACTTTTTGTATTGATGACTAAACGAGTGTATACAAATACACTGAAATCTAGAAGCCTTTGATCAATTAGTATTTAGGTGTGAGTCAATCTTTCCTCCATTCAGATGCTTTGTTCCTAATGGTCAATGAAATGTTCAGTGATTTGAAAATAGCTGAGCCAGTGCAGAATGAATAACTTATCCAGTCACTAGAACCTATAATAAAGTAGATCTATTTATTATATGTTGAATCTAGTATGGATAGCTTCCAAGGGATTATATCTAACACAAAGTTCTGGGTCTCATCTGGGAAGAATTTTCACTAAGAGGAATTAACACTTCAGTTGACCGAGATTGGGTTTCAACTGCCATAATAAATAAAAAGTAAAGTAAAAGTTATGTAACGAAAATTTTACTGTAAACTACAATGGCAGTCAGGCAAAATTCAGAGACCAACTTGTGTTGTTTAGATTTTTGAAGTGCAGGAGTATGTATATTTTTAAGTTATGAGCCTCCAGAAGGAGTGAAATAGAAGTCTTATGAAAATATTTTATTGCATTATTATTGTATTTTTATAATTTTATTGTTGGAATGCAATCTATGTTGTTCTGCTTACAGAAATTAGATGATGCTATTAGTTCACACAGTTTTTGTGAGTTATTATGTGATAAAATTAATTACAGTTAATTATAATAAAATTCAATGTAGAAAATTTCAGCTTTGTTTAAATTCAATAAATAACAGACAGTACGTATTAGGTAGTAAACAAGTAATAAAAATAATTACACCCTGAAATATTTGGCTATATTAGTTTTTAATACAGACTTCACTTAAAGCTAATATTTATTTATTAAAATGTTTGTGCCAATATTATTTATTTCTGGATAAGCAGAATGTTACAGCCCAAACAAAAATATACATTAACAATTCATATATATAATTCGTTTACTATAAATGTGCTCAGTATTTCTCAAATTAGTATAAATTTGGCCCACACTGGCTGTTTTCTATTTTCTATGTCTTCTATTACGCCATCAAATTAAACTTAAATGGTATGTAGATAGGGCTGATTTGTTAGAATGCCAGGTTTATAGGAATACCCTGACATTGTTTTGGTCTGCTCTAAAATATTTTTGCTTACCAATTGAAATTGTAGTTGTATTTGTTTAAGTGTTTAGAGATGAACATGCTTCAAATTATTAACACAGTTCGACTGCAGTTCTACCGTTGGACATTGTGTGCACACAGAGATGACATTTCCACCAGAATTGATTCTAAAATGAAGCAACTGACATTTTGTTTCAGTGGCATTCCTTGCTGAGCTATCATCTGCACATATCCGTGTCTGCTTATGTGATGTGGGGAGGCCCTTCAAGCTGCAACACTAAACCTATCAGAAGATGTAGTGCTTTGATAGTTCAAACAGGATATTTGAATAAGCACTGCTCTGTTAAATGCTTTGTTAAACATTGCTGTTGAAAGCAGTGAAAGTGTGGGGTCTTTAGTGTTCTCTGATTTTAATAGTTTTCTTGCATACATTTCATTATCAAACTAGGGTAGCATCATCAGTGTTAGAAGAAAATGGGAGTTTGCTTCTTTTTTTCAAACTTGAGCTACAAATATTCTCTTATTGGCACCAATGTAAGTAAATAGTTTTTGGAGTGAAAATATTGGGTGATCTTGGATGAAAGAACCAACATTTTACTTTCTTTAATTTTATGTTTTATAAAATCTCTTTCCCTTCATAACATTTATTTTGTCAATGAGAGTAAAAAAATTTGGGTGGAGAACATTAATGGCCTTTCTCTCAGAGTACCTTTATTCTCAATTTTGTTTCCTTTCACTTTTTGCTTTAATTTTAAACATACTTATTATGAAGTAAAAATTCAGAATGACTATAGCTCTCTCTCTCTCATGAATAGAATTCCAGATACTTACATTGTTTTTTAAAACAAACTTCTATAAATACTACTACTTTGTTGAGGGACGGACAGCACTGTGCTCTCAGGGAAGTAATGGAGAGTTGGGATGAAGAAGAAAAGAAAGAAAGACAATCATTCAGATGGTTCATAATTTATTAAATGTTAATAATAAGGCTAATTTAAACATAAATTTCTAGATAATAGAATAGAAGTGAATGCAATTCAACAAATAGATGATCAACTGTGGGATTCTTTCATTCTCAAAATGTAAGGAATAAGCTCTTTTATTATGCTTCTGCCATTATAATATAGACATTATCTGATAGTCCACTTGAATTATCATAAGTATCCTTTTTTATTTTCATATTAGTGAATTGTCTGCCATTTTAATCTTAAATTTGACTTAAACGTTAAATAATATGTCAGATAAAATTACAGCCCTTTTCTGTTTGTCTTATAGTTCTATCTTCAAGACACTAAGAGCAGTAATGGTACCTTTATAAATAGCCAGAGATTGAGCAGAGGATCTGAAGAGAGCCCACCATGTGAAATTCTGTCTGGAGATATTATACAGTTTGGTGTAGATGTAACAGAGAACACACGAAAAGGTAAGAGTATGGATCACTTTCTTTTCTTCTGCCATTGTAAGAGACTACAGGTGTTTGAGCTTGATATTGTAAAGCATTATTTCAATGAATTTCTAAGAAGTGAGGCAAATATACCTCACTTTCTTGGATATTGATGCTGTCCCCATTGTCCAACGGATATTCTACCTGAGCTAGTTGGGATAGGTGCAATGCTGATTTAGAAATCAACCTGATTGGAGCAACTGAGATTTTATAGACTTCTTGGAATTCATGAGGGTTGTCTTAGGTTATATCTGGCCATGCTTATAGTTGGATACTGTCACTAGACCTTTTAATCTGTGACTGTCTACCACTAGCTTATCAGGTGAAAATGGGTTTGAAAGGCATCATTTTACATTAATTCCTTTCTTTCCTTTTAAATCAGTTACAGAAGATGACACTGGATATTCCACCCTCTGGAAATTAGAATATCACAGTGAAATTATTGGGATAAGCTAGGGAAATTGGGGTTCCTGTGCCCATTCCCTGCCCATTATCAGGGAAGCTGTTGGTTTTCTGAATGAGTATGTAGCAGCAATTGTGGGCTGGTAGGTTTTAATAGGTCAACAAAGCAGAAGTTTTCTGGGTAGGAAGCAGATGGTCTCTAGACTAAGAATTCAATGTAGTTTGGATGAGATAGAATATCTCTTAAGCAATCAGTGTTATATCTTAGAGGTGGAACTTCTGGATTCAGCTTATACAAATAGGTTACAACAATTCTTATAACAGTTCATTTAGTGACCGTTCAAAGTTACAACAGCACTGAAAAAAGTGACTTATGACTATTTTTCACAGTTATGACCATTGCAGAAGCCCCATGGTCATGTGATTTGCATTTGGATGCTTGACAATTGGTTCATACTTATGACAGTTGCAGTGTCCTGGGATCATGTGATCAGCTTTTGCAACCTTCTGACAAGCAAAGACAATGGGGAAATGAGATTCACTTAACAATCATGTTACCAATTTAACAACTTCAGTGATTCACTTAACAAATGTGGGAAGAAAAGTCAAAATGGGGCAAAACTCAATAAATTTCTCACTCAACTACATACATTTTGGGTTCAGTACTGGCCATAAATTGAGGACTACTTGTACTAGGAGGCTCAAATAAATACTTTTATTCAGCTTAAGCTAACTCACTGATTCCTTATGAAATCAGATTTGGTTAAAACATTATTTATAAATCAAATGTATTAGACCTCTCAAAGTTATGAAATAGTGGCCTTATTTAAACACATTTATTTAAATAAATAAATATATTTAAATATATTCCTCAATTGCATCTGAGTTGGATTAATAATAATTAGAGCACTATATGTGCTCTTTCAGGTTACATTTGAAAAGTCTTTGAATATTACACCAGTCTAGAATGTAATAGTAATAAAATTGGTGGATGAAAGATTGCTATATCCTTCCTACAAAGGCTATAGTGGTTACCATCTTGTTTCTAAGTGCAACTCATTTACAACCTTACCATTTTTCAACATTTTCAACATTATGACTTCCTTTTCATCTATATTTGTGGGACAGTAGCATTTATAACATCAGTCTTATCACTGTCATCCCCATATGTATCTCTAAAATGATTTCCCAACTTTCCTTTACTTCATATTCATTTCAAATCTCTGATATTAGTGATTTTTTTAGGAGCCATTGTGGCGTAGTGGTTAGAATGTAGCATTGCAGGCTAATTCTGCTGATTGCAGGGGTTTGATCCAGACTGGCTCAAGGTTGACTCAGCATTCATCCTTCCGAGGTCGGTAAAACAAGGACCCAGATTGTTGGGGGCAATATGCTGACTCTAAACCGCTTAGAGAGGGCTGTAAAGCATTGTGAAGCAGTATATAAGGCTAACTGCTATTGCTATTAGTAACTTTTGCTTTTTCTCTCATATTATTGAAGCAAATTCAATTCAAACAAATTCAAAAGTGCATACTTTTTCAGGGCAGGTTACTAATTCTCATGAATTGATACTCTAATTTATTAGTAATGGAAAAGAGTTTTCTAGAGAGCTTCTCAGAATTTGAAAAATAATTTTATTGCCATAGAATAATGTGCATGGCATTTTAAAACTCTTCCATGCTTCTTAAAGCAAGGCTTGATGAACCTGCCGCCCTTTAAATGGTATTGGCATACATCTTCCAATTGCTGCAGCCAATATGATCACTGGAGAGAGATCCTTACCATTGCTGAGTAATAAATAAAGTCAATAGAGGGTCCCTTTCCCTGGCCTTATTTATCATTGTTACCAAACCCTTTTTTCCAAAATTTATTCATCAGTTTGCCCCATATAGTTGGTGGATCTCCTAGTTTTATTATTCTCTATTTTTCTTAGCTATTTTCCAGTCTTTTACATTGGGGAATTGATCAAATTTTTATTGTTTTTGTTCTGCACTTGTGAAATGATCTTTTCATAGCATGAGATGGGAAGTAGCATGGGACTTAGAGGTCTTCCTGATATTTTTAAATAGCCTGCTACTTTTTATATCTTAGAAAGAAAGAATATTTTGACTTTCTATTTGAACTCCCAAAATGTTCACTTTTTATTTGTGTATTGCTTTTTATCCTTCTAGGTAACATTATTGCAATTATAATAAATTGCTTTAATAAAGTAATTTTAATAACTGGACGCTTAGAACTTAAAAGTCTTAATTTTTATTTATTTTTTTATAGTCACTCATGGATGCATTGTCTCAACAATAAAACTATTTCTCCCTGATGGTATGGAAGCTAGGCTACGGTCAGAGTAAGTGCAACTTTAACATTATTTTAATATCCAATATATTCATATATTAGGGAAATTTCCTATATATAAGGATAGCCTGATTTTTTCATGTGAGAATTTTAATTCATGAGCCACGGCTGGCAGGCTTGAATAGCCCATTTGGAGAGATGATATTATCCTTTTTTGGTATTTTTTATATATTGTAAACAGTTTGGACTATTCAATATGATGTATCTATTTAAAATAAACAGTTTGGACAATGTAGTGGTATTGGTGCATAACAAACCAAGATTTCTGAAATGTTTTGTTGAGTTTTTCAAATACAATACATGATTTTGTGCATCCATGAAATCTTACAGAATATAGCACAGTATAATAGTAATTTCTAGAATGCTAACAGATAACAAATACTGTATTTCCCAAAATAACTATCTTAATAATTGGGAAGGTACTCATACATTCCTTAATAAAAAATAAAAGTAGATTTTAAAGCAAAAAATTGAGCAAAAGATTCCAATGAATGCAAACATGGTGCTAACATGAATATTAGAATAAAGAAACATTAATATAAACATTTGCCTCCTTTTTTCTTTCCTCATCCAGTTATTTCTTCATCTTGCTTAATCTCCAAAAAGTTTCAGTCCAATTATGCACCTACCCCTTCTGTTTATTTCATTATCATCTTATATTTTTTTCCTTTTCCTTTTTGATGTTTCTTGATAAAAGGAAAGGAGCAATTTTGTAATTTTCTTTTTCTATGTACAGTAGGTCTGAATTTATATGTAAGACAATGGTTGATATGTGCAGATAGAAATCAGTTAACTTGGTATTTTAGTTATTTATTAATATGTTTTTTTCTCTTAATCCTGTCCTTTTTGGGGAAGATGGCAAATATACATGTGCATATACATACAGAGCATCACATCCATGCTTTTATTGTTGGTTTCTCTATAATTGGCATCATTGATTTTGGCAGCTGTAAGATTAAGTTTATTGAAAGTAGGATTTTGTTGATTTTAGAATGCTGTGTGTGGGTGTAAGAGAGGGAGAGACAGAAGAAAAGAGTGTGAGAGACAGAGAGAGAGAAGTTGAACTCAAGATTGATTTCTTTGCTAAATATTGTGGAAATATTTTTAATTGATAGCTTTTCCCCCCATAGTGTCATCCATGCTCCATTACCAAGTCCTGTTGATAAGGTAAGCCTTAGAACATTTCTCATTCAGTACCCTGTATTGGCAAGGGAAATAGGATGTTTTTCACAGATCAGAGCTATGATTTATTGTCTTATATAGTTCCTTAACCCTTCAAAGTTTAACCACTATTAAACAAACTAATGATACTGTAGTATAAATGCAGATGCCTTTTTGTGGTATTCCTGTTTAACGTAAATAAAAATATATTGGGTGGCTAGTGCTTCCTGTTGTGAGAAACTAAAATAAAATGTTGGTATTGTTATAGTATACTGCTTATGGTTTACATTATTTAGAATGTATGCCATTTCAAGAGTTGTAGCAATAACAGTCTAATTATAAATACCTTTGATTTCTAATCTTCATACTAATAGAGGCTAGGTTAAAGACCAATGTGGATTTGAAAGTTGACTTTTGCCGTGCAGGTACATTCTTGTGTACTTTTGCAATTGGCTATGTGAAAATGATTTCTTGAACATTAAACATTCCAGCACAATGACTAAGTACTCTACCAAGGTAATAAGCATTTTAGTAGATTATTTTCTTCCATATAAGGAAGAAAATTGAGCCCAGAGAAAGTTGTGTTACTTTTTTTGTAGTCTTTTATTAGACTTAATACTATGTTGTATATGGCTTCTCATAGATTTACATTGTCTGTATATCTAGACAAGGTTATCAAAACTGTATTTCTTATTATTAAAAGGGGGATTTTGATAGGCATATGGAGTAGTAGAAGTCATTCCATGTTCAAATTCATTTTTACGAACTTTGTGTGAACTTTGTGTGATTTTTCCTGTATTTATATTGCCTCATACAAATTATTCTGAATACAAATTATGCTAACCTCAATTTTCTTCGTAAATTTTACAAATTCAAATTCATTTCTGATTTTTTTCTTATTGAATCAAAATATATATAGTGGTGTATACAATTTTGAGAAATCTTTTTAATTTTGGGAATTTCTGCATAAATATGCTAAAGTGTTGTCTGTTCTCCATACAACTAGATAAAGAGAACCCAATTAAACAAATGAGTCAGAAATATTACATGTTCATTCTGTCAGGATTCCGGCAGTTACCCCAATTAAATCATGAGCCAAACTTCTAAAACTTCAAAGGATTTACTGGGAGTTAACATGTCTAGCACAGCCTGGGTGTAGCTGACTCAGACACATAATTCATTGTCACCCTTTTCCCTGGTTTTCCCCCACCCCGGGTATATCATAATTCATATTCTCCAATGAAACACATCCATAGCCAAGAGTCATCAGACATGTTCTCCAGTTAGATTTTTGCGCAGCAGAAACTTCAGTCACCTAGAAAACTATGTATGGAAAACTATGTATGGAATGCACTTTTGATTTCCAAGCTGCCACACTGCTCTTTCAAACCCCTCCCCCCCTCCCTTTTTGTTGGCAACTCTAAAACCATAGAAATATTTTATGAATTGACACATTCATTTGTTGAGGACTTCAGTGATTTTTTAAAAAAAATCATATCTTGTACTATTATGAACAATTCTACCCATTTTCTATCTAACTTTGATTATATTACTTAACCTGGTAATGAAACATCTACAGGAAAATAAGCAAGCTAAAGACTAAAAAGGTAACAATTAAACTCTAAGCTACATGTATACTCCATTATTGGAAAATAACATAGATACTTTGCAATAACTTATCATACACACACTCAGTTATTCCAACCATTCATTATGGGTTTTTGCTTATAGGCTCCTTATCTCATTTTAATTACAGTCCTATTAATAACTTATAATTTGACAATGTCTTTCCTATAATGTGGTGCCCAAAATTGGATGCAGTATTCTAGGTATAGTCTGACCAATGGAAAAAAGAGAGGATCAATGACTTCCTTTGATCTCAAATTTCTTTTGAAGCAGCCCAGGATTCTTTTTTTTTGGCAGCTATATCAGGCTGATCTGCCAAGACACCTAGATCCTTTGTGAATATACTTCTGTCAGTACCATTCTACTATCCTATATTCTTGCCTGTCTGTTTAATCCTAGTGAAAATCTTACTGATATCTTCCCCTTGTTCCAGTTTATCACAATGTTCTTAAATCTTGATAGTGGCCCATAAGTTATTTGCGTCATCTCTAAATTTCATAACTATATTTAACCCTTCATATAATTCATAAATATGTTGATCAGCATGGGGCTTAGAATGGATCTTATGGGATATGACTTGACTCTTCATTTTTCATCTTTATACAGTCGTCATGCAGTCATTGGTATAATCTTCTCTGAATCATCCATCCATCCATCCATCCATCCATCTATACATCCATCCATCCATCCATGATTTATTCTTCTAATTTTAAAATGGCCTGTCTTTTTCACTGAGGGACTCTAATGTTTCTCATCCTCCTTACTACAATCTCACGGGAGATTTTATCAAATGCTTTGTTAAAATCAGAGTATATTTACTCTTGAGTAGAGTTTATCATTTCTATTGTAAACTAGACTGGTTCTGTCGTAATTAAAGGAGAATAGATTGATTCGGCATGACTTGTTTTAATAAATCTCCATTTTGGTTTCTACTAAACAATACACTTTTCCTAAATGTTGGCAAATCAATGTAATAGCCTGTTCCAAAAAACTCTGTTTCCCCGCATTATTTGTGGTTACCTAGGTTTTCTTTTTATTTTCTATTATTCTTGGGTGGTGGTTGTGGAGTCATGTAATTTTCAGTGTAAAATGCATGATGTAAGATAAAAACTCTGTGTTTCAAGTCTGAGAGCTCAAAATATAAAAATGGATACCATTAATAGAATATGCTGTACTGTAACTCCATAGTGATTACAGCCACTATCCATTTCCTATGTATTCTCTCAGCTCACACACAACTCGTTATATTACCATGCTTCAATTTCTTTCTATAGTATCTTGATTTCCAAAATGTCTTTTGGAAATAAAGCAATTTTAGAGACCTTTCCATCTTGGCTAAGGTCAGTCTACTAACAGAGGTTGATGTAATTGAAGTTTCCCATTATGTTTTGCCTTCATAAAAATTATGGGAAGCATTGTCTGGTCAGTAAAGACTTTATCCAGATTATATGCCTAGTTTGGTGATCAGTAGCACATCTCTGCAATACATTTTTTTTGTTTTCCAATTTCTTGTATATTGAAGAATTGCTTCAGGCTTTGTACAAGAGGAGCATCACCTTGTTATGTATTAAAATAAACTATTTTTTTTCAAAAACGTCCTTTTGTTTCAAGAGTCATCTTTACTTTAAAGAATGGATTGTTTAAAATAGCAGCATTTTTATAGGTTTATGCTTTAAGAAAAAGCAGAGGATCTATACTTGATCTAGAGTGGGTTCTGAAACACTTCTTGCAAATAATTTCTGTTGCATGTTTTACTTTAATATGAGAGAACGTTAACAGTGACTACATATCCACTGGATATAGTATGAAGAAGTTATTTGTAAAAATTAAAAGAATGGAAGCTACACAAAATAAGGGAAATTTTAATGTAATATTTTATTAATGTATTTTATACATATAGAAGCAGAAAGATAGCGTTTTAAATTCCTTGTTGCTGCTATCTGGAGGTTGTCTGAAATTTGGCAGCTGAGATTAGGTAGCCCATAATTTATTAAATATGAAAATATTAATATAAAGCACTAAAGAAGTTAAAATCTGACATGAGATGAATAATAGAGGCCTTTGTTTCCCATTTTTATAGGTTGCTGCTAACACTCCCAGCATTTACTCTCAGGAACTGTTTCAGCTTTCTCAGTATCTTCAGGTAATATTATATGTACAGTTCTGAATAAACTCATAAACATCAGACTTATAAAATTGTATTATAAAATGTAAACAAGAGCTTTAATGTGATAGTTATGTAAGAAATTAGGCTGCAGTCTGATAATTATATACTGGTAATATTGACAACTAAAGTTCTTGCAGTAAAATTTGAAAGACTCTTAATCTAAGACTTGAAAGACGTTACCCCGGATGCACAGCTAAATAATAACACAGCATTAGTCATGGTTTGTCAATTAATTATATTAAACTAAACATGTAGCTATCATATTAATAACTATAGTGGTAAAATGTTAACTTTCTAGTCTCTCCCTTTGCTGGTTATATTTTCATAGCCATACATAGCATGGGGCCTGTTATTTGAGGGACTTTCTCGCTTCTTGATACATCTAGCCATCCTATCAGACTCAGCAGAGAGGGTATGTAGGTCTCATCTACTGGAGTATTTCATCTGGTGGGACCCAGGAGGAGTGTGTTTTCTGCCATGGCATATGCCCTATGGAACATCTTTCCCCCAAGTTTAGATTGCCCCGACCCTAATTTTCCAAAGTCCCTTAAAACCCGGTTTGCCATTGGGCCTGGGGATTTCATGGAGACGTGGAGCCTCAAAATAGCTGTATTGTGTGTAAGATTTTGATTATACTTTCATGTATTTTATGTGCATAGTTTTTAAATGGTGTAATTGTTTCTAACATTTTGTTGCAATTGTTGGGTTTTGCTATTTTAATTGTGTGAGCCACCTATAGTCATGTATTTGAAATGGGTGGTTTTATAAATTAGATAAAATACTTTTTAAAAATAATCTCCAGTTGTCTGTGAAAAGACATTACATTTCTGGTTTCCTTTGGTGGCATCCAGGTAGTGGTTATATCTTGATCTAACAGCTGTTTATTGTAGTTGAAATCATAAAATTATAAAGTTTTGCCCCATTTTGTGCTAATTTAAGTTCAAAGTATTATTGTTTACATGGTTCTGTTGAAAAGGAAAGAGTGAAGTTTGCCATCTAGTGGCTGTTGGTGAAGAGAACAGTAATCCTTTCATAGGAAATGGGTATTATTTTCAGAGTGGTGGTGTTTGATACCTTAACTGCTTTGTTTTCCTTGTAGCAGAAATAGCCTGATATATTTTTATTATTAACAGGAAAGGTTTACAGCAAAAGGAACAAAAACATTTGTAAATGGCCCAAACATAAGTTATACATATATATCAGCAATCTGCAATCTCCTTAAAGCAGCCATATCTTTCCCCTGGGTGGTTAATCTATTGACTGCCCAGTTCCAGTGTATTCCAGGGCTGTGCAGCTATCTTGCACAGCTAGAAGTCATAATGATTATATCTGAGCTTTAGCATGCATAAGGTGTCTTGAATCTGTGAAGAAAATTAAAATGATGCATCCATTGTATTGAAGTTATTCTGATCATTATACTAAAGAGAGGAAAAAGAAAAGCTGTTACCAAGCTGATACTTATTACTGTCTCCATTAATGCATATGTGGATTATTATGGCTAGGCTGAAAAAAAGTTAGATATATGCAGAGCTTTTGATTG